AATTAGAAAACCCGCTCCGCGCTCTGACCAAATTCCGCCCGCTCCTCGCTCACATGCTCTGTTCCACACCACAGACGATGCACCTTTTTTCTTTACAATCTCTTCCTTGTTGGTTTCGTCACATGTAAGCAAACTCACCGCTGCACCGTCTTCTTCCATTGTCGAAGTGAATGTGTATTGCGTGGTTACCCAACGTGCAACGTCACGTGATCTCAATCGCGATTAAGACGATAGACGAAAATCTGTATCGGTTGACAAATTTCTACCGGTTAGTCGAGTCTACCGGTATATCGCCCACCCCTATGTAATACTGATTAATTTTATACTAACTTAACACATGTAATTGTGATTACTTTAAAGTGTCAGCTAATAATTATTTCGGTGTATTAATAATTGCATCTCCCTAAGAGACCAAGTAGTAAACAATTCAAAAGTAGAAATAAATATTATAAAAACTTTAATTTTGAAATAGACATAATAACAATTGCATAATAAGTGTTCAGCAATTCACATCTACAATTCTATTGAAGATACAGACTTTGACTTGCAGAAGACTGAAAAATGTTTTAAATCTGTCACACACACCATATTGGCCAATAAGTGTTTGACAGAGCTGTCACTTGGCTATAGCTTAATATTAAATCGTAAGAACTCTTCGTATCTGTAAATACGTCATGTATTTATAAATCCCATGCAACACCTGTTACCATGAATAAGTATCTGCAAGCATCATGATTACTGTACAACACTAGCCAGGCAAAAATTTGACCATCATAACAGGGTAAAATATTTTAGTATGATTTTATGAGAATAAATGAGTGCAGGTCTTCCATAACAGTAATGCATCAAAGACCAGACAAATCAACAAGCAGGACCTTTAAAGGAAAACTATATAAACACACGAATAAAAGGCTTGAGCATTATTCTGTAATGGCACAAGGCTTTAAACCAGCACTGCATAGCCTCCTCTCAGAGTGTCAGGAAATCTTAAGAAAATGAGACATCACTAATATGTCAGCAAGAGCACTGAGACATTTAGTGTTAAACTGCTAAATTGTACATTCAATAAGTTATTACTAGTTTACCAACTTGTCTTTATGGGTCTTGAAATGCTGAATGAAATGTGAAGTTGCCTTAAGTGTGTCTTTTTTTATTTGAACTTCAAACCAGTTTATCTTTTTTGGTATCAATGTTGCCATTATTACATCATGCTAGTACACTGAACTGCATTCACCAACAGATCATATTGCATGTCTTGTGGCTTCTGTCGTTCATGGGTCACAGACAGCATTTTTGAGCTACTATTAAGAGCAGTCAAACACAATTGTGGAGCAGATGACAAGTCAAATCTCAAATCAACAATATCCAAGCCTAAGTTGAGTCTTTCATAAATTGGCAAATATGAATATCCTCAACAGAACAGTGATCACTTGCTCACCTACCAGCAAGTAGAGCAGTCTGGTTTCATGTCTAAGTCTATAGTTGACCACATCCTGGCATTGAGGATTATCATCAAGCAAACACAAATATTGGCAGAGTTTTTTTTGCAGCCTTTATCAGTTTTCTTAAAGCATTCGACTCAGTTGATTGAGAAGCCCTGTAGGACACCCTGAGACTTCGCGGCTTCTCCTCAAAGCTGCTGAATGTCATGTTTGGCCTGTAAACCAGTGCTGTAGGTGCTGTGCAGAGTGGAGGCTCCTACTCTGCTCAATGTTTGCATGGGCTGGGTGTTCGGCCGAATCATGGGGTCCAGCGGATGTGAGGTGTCTGTTGGTGAAGAATGATTTACCAATCTTGGCTTTACCAACGATGCTGTGATCTTCGCAGAGTCAACTGAGAATCTGATTGGGGCTCATGAGAGACTGGAAGGAGTCTGAGTGTGTGGTTTTACAAAGGTCCTAGATCAAAATTACGATCCAGGCCTTAAATGATCTCTTGGGCACAGCCATCAGCAGTGTGTCTGAGAATGTCGACCGTGTTGAGAGGTTCGCTTACCTTGGCAGTGACTCTTCCTATTAAGTCAGTAGATGGACTAGGAGAGCATGGGGGGTCTTGAGGTTGCTGAAAAGGGGTGTTTGGTAATCCCAATATCCCTGTAAGAGGACGAAGGTCCAAGTCTTGAGTCCTAGTGCTCCCTGTCTTGCTGTAATTACAATTTTTCTAGTATGTGTGTTTAGAAAAGCTTCATTTTGACAATCATGTGAGTGAATAATTCTCAACACAGGTGATTCAGGCCGAACAATTGATTTCTGCAGGGAGAGATAGCATTTGGCTTATCAGGGGGTTAAGTAAAACACAAGGCAGTATTGTTGAAAATCTCCTCCCAGAGATCATAGGCCACATCCAGTTTTTACCAAACTGCAGAATGAATAAATGGTCCATCTAGTGGCGAAATGTTTGAGTTGCATCCTTCATTTTGGTTGGTTCTCTCAGCTTGTTGCGTGCACTGCTTCGTCTGGAGGCATGCCACCAGAGCTTTCCAAAATGCTCTCCTCTGAGGCACTATTTCTCATACCAGCAGCACTGGCCAGAGCTGCACTTCTCTATTCTCTGAAAGCCCAAATCAAGGTTGAAGTATAAAAAGACTCGCCACATCCTGCAAAGGCATCCACCCACATATTCTACATGTTAATGTAAAACTCCGCACTCTTCTGCAAACCAAAGACAAATGGTCAAATAAGTCCTTAGTTTCTGTTTTTGTTCATTTAGACACAAAGGTATATTTGCAGAGCACAGCTTAAATAAAAGGCAAACACTGCACTGCATAATTAGTTTATATATATATATATATATATATATATATATATATATAAAAATTATATAAAAATAAGAAGTTAATATTACTGATAAAGCAACATCTTTCTGCAAGATTAATAGAGAATTTCTATAGGTACTCAGATTCGAGGTTGACATTTTACTGCTACAATGTAATCAAGTCAAATTGTAAATGTTCATCAAAGAAATTGACACTTTATATAAAAAATGGGAATGAATCGGAAATGTTTCGTCCCATATTTCTGATTGTAATTTCATGATGATGCCCACAGGACTAGAATGTGAGAAAGAAAAAAGGAAGAGGCTGGTCACATGGTAAGCAAACAAAACTAAAAGTATGATCGGGGCTCGCCGAATTTCAAAATCTAGCCTTCTCAGGACGCCTAGTCAAGGCTTGCTAACCTTTACGTTGTTTTGTTACAAGCATCACAGAGGATGCGGCTTATTTGACTGCACATGAACTTCGCAGCAAGCAGACCACGAAAAGGAACAACAATGGTAAGTGCAGACGTGTTCCCTGAACTAGTAAACTGGAGGAAATAAGGAAGTAGATACACAATTCTAATCAGCGCAATCCTGCGTCATCCTTGTTTCAGAGGCAGACAGACAACAGTGCATGTTAAACCTCTCGTCTTGGAGCCTAGAAAAAGATCTGTGTGTGATGAGATTCTTAGGGATCAGACAAAAAAAGCCTATTAGACTAGATAGTGGTGTGGATTTGGCTGAACACCGGGCCCACCCATCCTGTATGTTGAGTGAAGCAGTCGATTTATGCGTCTGCAAGGCTATGGGGTTAAAATGGGCTGCTATACATTTCCTAGCAGCACCAGAGACCGTTAGCTCAGAGTAGCCGGAAACTGCTAGCTAGCATGTCTGTTCTCTCCACTTGGCAGCAGACAAAACACCGATTTCAGCAGCGGTTTGTTTTTATACCTTTTAGTAAATATTTTAGTTGTATTTTTAAAGTAGCTTTATTCATTCTGCCCATGGTCAGTATAAATAAAACTGTGTGTGATGAACAGGTCTTCAATTAGATGTGATAATGCAAAGATGTGTAGAATGATTGTTTTACAGGCTGTCTAACGCATACGCGGACCCAATTTGAAAATAGAACCACGTGACCCCAGACTGGGCACGGAAAAGAAATGCCAATTATAGGGTCAGAGGAACAGAAAGAGAAGCTCTTTCAGCAGATGAGAAAAGGGAAAACAAACATGGAAGGGCATCTCAGAGACAAGACAAACAGATCATCACATCTAGTTCTTGGGGTGGGGGGGGGGGGGTCAGGAGCAAGTTTACTGGAGAGAAATTAAAGGGACACATTAATTAATACTTATTTCAATAACAAGGGTGAGGTGGACACAAAGGAGCAGCACGAGTACTTCCTCCAGAGAGGGACTCAAGCATTCTCCATAATAGTGTCCATGAAAGAGTATGACCAGAAAATTTCCATTAGGGCCCTTCCAAAATAAAGAGAATTCCATTACAAATGGTGTTAACAGGGCATCACCAAGACCCTGCAGAATGGCTACAGTACAGCAAGAATCGGTCAACATCAGGTTTTGTTACAGATCAAAATATCGGCATTGGTCCCACGTGTCAGTTTTGGCTGGTATTGCCAGCTGACATTTAAACATCAATATTAAAAGTTAGCAGCACCAGAGCTAAGTACACAACTACTTAAATAATGGAGATGACTGCATTGGACAATCAGCTATTTCCACAGTGGAGTATGAGGGATTTCCTCAGCTCATTCACTAGCTTTCAAAGTACTGGCCTGCAAAGATTGTTTCATACGGCCCGCGAAATGTTTTTAATTAATTAATACATTTGATTCAGGGATTGGGCTGTCATTTATCGTCAGAATAAAAAAAAATACGTAACATCTTTCTGCTAATTTGTGCCGGCAAGCTGGGCAACTTTCAGAGTTATCAATATCAGCGATTTTAAACAAAAATCTATTGGTATCAGTCAAAATTCCACACACTGATGCAGGACTATCATTAGTCCATTAGAATAGAATAGTGGTACTTCAATAATCCTTGTGGAAATTGTTTTATCACCAACCCCATCTTGGTTTCCGTGAGACACACAGACAGGTAAGAGCAAGCTTGAGGGTTACGGTGCAGGGTTAGACAGTGTGCAGCCCCCCGGGAGCTGGGGGTTAAGGGCTTTGCTCAGAGGCCCATGGACATGTGACAACTCTGCCAGGACTAGGGCTTGATCCAGCAACCTTCTGATCACAGGAAGAGGCTTAGCTCACTGAGCCACACACTATCCTTGAAAATGAACCATTTCAACACTTTCCTCTTTAAACGGGGGGGAAAAGACCCATTAGTATTTATTTGAGGTATGACCTGATTACTGGCCCAGCATTTGGTTTATATCACTTCCGGGCCCATCAAACCACTCAGGTATCACTCAGTCACCATATATGACAGATGTAGAACTGACACACTGAGAGACACAAAGACACACTAGCTTATACCTATGATTACCACATGTTCCAGGCTCTGTCTGCAGGCTTCAAAATGGGCATGCAAATAAATGTACTAAATAAAGATTAAAATTTAAAACAGCAATGGTTTAATTTGGCTACAGCGTAATGAACATCATGTGCCTTTGAAACATTGCAGACATGACGTTACGTTCATCCACCCACTTATCTTCCATAACTACTTATCCAGTACATAAACCTAAAGCCGATTCCCAGGAAGTACAGGGCAGGAAGCCGGGAAGAGAATGTCAGTTCTTCACTGGCCACACAGATAACAAAAGGTGACACTGGTCTTACCTAAAGACACTCAGTACATTTACATGCACAGCTAAGTCTACGCCACTATGCCATTTAATCGGACTACTGTCCTTGTCCCAGGATACATGCATGGGAGGGAAATCAATTAATAGGTGGCAATATGGCTCCTTCAAGCTTGTTAGTATCTGGCTTTTTCCGGTTGACCTATTACACCAGACATTTTTTTTTTAATTATAATAATGGATGCATGGACAAATGAAATGACACAAGCTTTAATTGCAATATGGTTGGAAGTGTAGATACAAGAAGATCAGGAAAGCATAACAAGAAATAAAGCATTTTGTATAATATGCTATGACAGCATGGTATTGAAAATATTTCAGATATTGCAATGTGATTTTGTTGCAAATATTGGGGTATTTATAAAACAAAAAGAAATTGCTAGTTCAAATGTTTTAGTGAGACAAATTCCCTGTGCTATAATATTCACACCAAACTGAAGGTAAGAACAAGCCTGATCTTAATCTACCTGACTAGTGATGTAAGAATTGGATGTGCATAGCATGCGATGTAGGTATTAATATCGCATGTCACCTCGCGTTGTGTTGTCATCCTGCGCCGGTACCAGTTTTTACACCAGTGGAAAGACAGCACCTTGATGTACTGTACCTTTGGTATCTTCTTGCGTAGCAGCTGCTTCTGTGACTTCCGGGTCAAAGCTTGGGGGCTGTAGAGCAGTATGAGTCCAAACGAACGTATACGTGCAGGAGTACATTGACTCCCAATCGCATTATCTGGGTGTCTTAGTCCGACTTAGAGAAGTTCGAAGTAGTACAATTCCAGTTGGACTAACACATTTACATGTTTTTCAAAAATCTGTTTTGTCTCAGATTATCAGTGTTCGTGGTGTGTATGTAAAAGTACAGACTGACACCTGGAGGAAACCCACGAAAATGCATGAAGAACATGCACACTGGACTTACAGTCACAACCTTGGAGGTCTGAGGTCACACCTCTGGGTGGTGGCCCAAACACTGTGTAGAAGACACAAAATTGGGACCCAAAAGCAGCTGCACCCAAAATTGGATATTACAAAGAGAGACACACATACTGCAACGATGGGCAGAGATGCTTGGGAAGTGATCAGATTCTGCCTTACAATTGATACATGAAGCTAAATTTCTCCCATGACATACAACAAATTTTAAACACTAGGTGGCAGCGTTGCAAAAGCTAATGATGCAGCAAGTAATGTTTTATTTTTCACTATTGGATTTTCAAAGTCTTAACATTCTGGCTTAATGTTAATCCCTTGCTCTCCCCTCAGAATGCAACACCTCCAGCAACACCGACAACCTTGAAGAGAACTACTATGTCCACAGTCCATGAGCACATCGTGAGCATGGGCACATTCACTACTGTGGAGCATTTCACGGAGGGAAATAGGGCAGATGACCTAGCTTCCAGTGCCAACTACTGCTACGCACTCTTTGGCGCACTTGGCTTTGCGTCTGCGCTCTTCCTCTACTTCAGTTTCGAGAAATCCTACCGGAAGGCCAGGAAGAAATGGACTTGGATGGACAGCATCCTTTGCACCTACTCCATTTGCGAATTCTACGTAATACTCATCTCCATCTCTTCTCTGGCACACCGGCCCAGATACATGATGACCACACACCTCGGCTGTGCCATCCTGTCCTTCTCCTTCAATGTGGCTTGCATCATTGGGGCACTCCATCAGACGTTAATGCTGTTCTTCCTCGCGTTTCGCCAGGACTCGTCTATACCTGCCCGTCTTCAGAAAGTGCTGGACAGCCCTGCCTTGTGTGCAGTGGGAATGTCCATGGTCTCGCTGATACTCTCCATAATTCTGGCGGTACTGCGAGGTCCACACGGGCACCTGGATAACATCGCAGAATGCCAACTTGATGCTAGCCCCTCAGCCAGTTACAGAGTTGCCAAGTTTATTATAAGTTTCGTCTTGCCCAATATCATCACAGTGACCCTCTTGGTCATTGGGAAGTGGTCAAACAAAAACTTCCTGCAAAGTCTCAAGAAAAAGGCCATTTTCCCCACGGTCATCCTGGTCACCTTCTTCACCAGGCTTTACTACCATGTCTTCCTGGTGAAAACAGTCAGCACGCCTGTCTTGCCCTATCAAAAGGCCATGATGAGTGTGGCAGAGTATGTGCTCTTTGGCGGTAGTAGTGTCAACCTCGTGCTGGTGCTCTGGCTTCATGAGCCATGCCGGAAGACCCTACAGCACACTGTGGACGACCTACGTGATTGCGTCATTGGACGAGAAGCCAGAAGCCAGGTCATGAACCCTAGCATAGTGATTTCAGATACACAGGACAGCAATGAGCTTGAGGGAGAAACGACTCCAGTAGTAAATCTTATGCCTTAAACTTGCAAAGTTTTTTTGTCCGAAAACAATCCCAAATTTTGACTTCAGAGCAATAAAAGTTTGTATTTCTTTAAGTATTACTGAGCAACTAATGTGTTAACTGTGCACATCTCACCAGATGTGCACAGTTTTTACTGTAAAATAGCATCCTGTGGCATGAACTGATCAAGCAAAAAAAAAAAAAAAAAAATTGTCAATATGCTTACTACTGCACAGATTCCTGATTATCGGACTGATCTTTATACAGAATTCTCATGTTAGAGATGACTGAATTCAAATTAGACTGACATTTGAAGTCAAACACAAGGAGACATATGTTTGCATGTTGCCTAGAGGGGACAGCAACACAGTATCCTTTATATTTAAACATATATAGAAGATATATAGGGGGTGGCTCAGCAGGTAAGGACTCTGTACCCATGATCACCGGTTCAAATCCCAGGCTCAGCAGAGTGATGTCACCATTGGACCCCTGAGCAAAGGCCCTTAATCCCCAATTGCTCCAGGGATTGTCTGACCCTGCTTTCTCACAGTACGCATGGTTTTGGATAAAAGCGTCTGCTGAATAAATAAAATGTAAATATAGAAGTTCCATAATTGAATAAAAACAGGCAGCTATTCATACGCTTGAAGAACAGAAACTGTCATGTATTGTAATTTGGCACATACTGAAATAAAACCAGAACAAAAACAACAGAAGTATGTGTGTATAAGTGCAAAATACATAACTATAGTAAAATGTGCAATATATTGCCCTCTTTTTCTTCAAATGTAACAAACAGAATCGAAGTTATCAGTTTAAAACAACCTTGTCTGCATGCATTCACCACTACTCTGCAAAACATGAAAAAAGTGTAAGAGTGGAAAAGAAGCTAGGAATGAGTGAAAATGCTTTCCATTTAATTAACCTGTTGTACTAATAATGCGCTTTTGTATACGCTATGAGGACGCCAAATTAAAATATACTAGAAAGTGCAAGGAGATTCTCATTTACAAAATGTATGGGTTAAAGGATGCACATCATTTTTAATAATACTGGGGTTCAGTGACCAGAACAATTCCTTCATTCATAATTCAAGTTATTTCTATACATTTCCCATCCACATATGGTTCTCCTTGATGTCAAAATCAGGCTTCCAAAAAACCAATGAAATGCAAACTGTAGCAATATAGTTTTATACATAAATGAAATTGGCAGTCAAGGTAAAAGACATTAACACTGATATCTAGATGGACTATGTTTTCCATTCTCATTCAATAGTGATTCTCTTTTTTGTAATAGTACTAGTATATGTGATGGACCTTAAGGCAATTTATGCCAAAAAAGACAGAAGAAATTAAACAAAAACAACCGCAGGGAGGCTAAAGTTAATAGCTCGCCCCAACCACTTAAACATGCTAATCCCAAACAATTAGAATGAGGATTTTTGCTTTGTATATATATAAAGCTAATTTCAGCCCAAAATGTACTTTAAACCCTTAAAAGCTAGTGAATTACTTTTGATAATACTTAAAATAAAAAAGCCAATCATAAAATTAACCATTGGAGCTGGACCAAGGTCTGTTTATATCAAGACCGCAGATGGAATTCCAGTGTTTTCTTCCTGCCCTATGTTTGTTTTCCAAATCTGCCTGCCGACTATACGACTCCTGGGAAAGGCGAAGGATGAAGGTCCCCGGCATGCAAAGGCGGCACTGAGCGTTCCCGCAGATGGCTGCCGCCCGGGGTGCTGAGCACGCACTTCCCGCCATGATTACGTAAGAGCCGCTGAGAGCCCACTGTGTCAGTCGCATTCATCCAGGACCCAACACTCATCCGAAGGCCTGTACCCTTTCTGTGACCTCACATCAAGCGGATGGCTTCTAAGTCACAGCCCAAGCAAGGACAAGGGACGAAAACCAACGTTACAGAATGAGGTTCAGTGTTTCCCCAAGGTTTGGGGGGGGGGGAGGAGTGTGCTCACGCATGTGTTTGTGCATGATACAAAGAGCGATATAGAGAGCAGAGGGAAATTGTAAACGCGCGACCGTGTAGAGACAAAAATGTGTAAATAAGATAAATAACATAAGGCTATTTAGTTTGTTTAATAAAATGACAATGTATAGACCTGTTCTACAGGAAAGTTTAAATGACTTCTGTTGTGATCTGGCACTATTTAGAAAATAAAATTAAATAAAATTAACTTGACATTAAAGGGGGGGCGGGGCGCCCCCCTAATATAATGGTAGGGGAAACATTGAGGTTAGCGTTGCCTCCTGGGGAAAACGATGCAAGAATTATCTGCAGGTGACAACCACTCCAGACAGAAAGACATTCAAGGTTTCAACAGCCAATCTGAGACATCAATAAATATTATGACATTTGTGTATGCTTTGGAAGGCGTCTGTATCTATTCTTCATTATCATCAATGGGAGTGCGCAGCACAAAGAAATGCGTGTAGCAGTGCGTTTTCAACGCAGCACACTAGTGGGAACATCATACATTGAGAAAGTGATTTCCATCAGTAAGTCACACCAGTCGCCAAATCAGGAAAATACCAATTCAGAATGAATAGGTAGAATACTACCAGTGGTTGAAGAGCAACCTTGACAACCTGCAAAGGACACATCACCATATTCACACTACAAGCATGCAAGGCTACACAAATCAATAGGCAGTAGAGTAAGGCAGTTGTGAGCATTTTCTGGTACACAAATGTTGTGTATGGCCGTTGAATGTATTCATGAAATATGGATTAAAGTATATAAAATTAGTGTACATTAGTTTCAAGTAAAATCTCTAAGCAAATGAGACAAATCCCAGTAGATCCAAGTTCAATGCAACACATTATACCGGATTTCTCCTGCTTTCAGAATCCAACCTTGAATACCACAAGCAGCAACAACAACAACAAAAACGGCCATAAATCAGATAGCAGACATTCCCTTTGTGAATCTGGGGCTGGCATCCTGATGCATGCTGGGAATGGGCAGTGCTGAGGGGAAGATGTAAAGCAGGTGGCCCAGAAAAGGGCAACAGTCTGGAGGCTGATGAGGTACCGTCAGTTGGACCATTCTACGAAACACTCGAGTGAGGACAGCTTGAACTCCAAACGCAAGCTGCTCTGTACACAGTCACGCAGTGCAAAGCCAGCATGCGCCGATGGACGGACCATCAGCATGAATAACATATTGTTGTCCCCCCACCCCATCGATGTCCTTCTTTATCTGTCTGGGTGGGTGATTATAAATAACCCCTGAGAATTTAAATTTTACTTCACTGAGGTGACTCAGCGAACTGCCCCCTCTTGTTTTAATGAGTCAGGGGTATCTGCGTAAAATTCGGACTTTACAGCAGAAAAAGTATAAACCCCACTGCCCTACCTAGGATTTTCATCACCGCACACAAGAATGCAGACAACTGTCCAACAGAACTGTGGTATAAGTCCATAAAAGAGAGAAGTAACAATAACAGACATCAATCAACATGGGGAGAGGGGGAGGAAAAAAAAGGCTGCTCTGCATTATTTGGCCATTACACTATGGGACTGGAACCCTCTTCAGGGCACAAGCAAATTAATTTGCTTAGCTTTTAATTTACAGGCAGAAAAAAAATAATGAGCGAAAATTTCTGCGAGACCTCACTGTAATCCAATTAAGACAACATTAACTGTTTATCTTTGGGAAAGGAAGTAGACATAAAGGGGAGTATTAATCTAAATTATTCGGAGATATAGCCTAATATTGTTAAGCAATGGGCAATTAAGTAATGTGGAGAAAGATGTCAGAAAGCATAAGACTGCAAGAAACTGCAACCATATTATTGAAATGTTCTGTTCAGCTTTTAAAGCTGTGCAGTATTAACAGAGTATACAATGGAGCTCAAAGTATGTCTCTTTTGGGATGGAAAGATAATTAAGGTGATGCAAATTGCTTTAATACACATATTACTAATGCGCATGCTGAACCTGCCAGGCTAATGAATAAGACAAATAGCCTTTGTGTACTTACTTTATTTAAATAAATTCCCACATGAACATTTAATAATCCAATGTTAAATCACTAGTCCAACAGACATTGGGATTGTGGTAAATTATATAGAGTTCAGGATACATAAGAAATCAAATTAAACAAGTTAATAGAATTTGGTGAGGTCAATTTTGTTTAAGTCCGGGGAAACTTTGTGGGACAACCATCTAAGTACACTAAATCAATTACTTTCATGGTGACTTTAAAAAAAAATGTACAGAAGTATTATTTTCTTGTTTTTTTGTGCAGCTTTGTCAAATATAGTACGCTGTTATTAGGAAAGGCGCCGGTTCAAATCCCAGGGTTGGCAGAGTGAGCAAGGCCCATAATCCCCAGTTGCTCCAGGGAATGTCTGCTAGATACTGTTGCCTTGACGAAAAGTGTCTGCTAAACAGATAATAATGTAATAATTGTGCTGATGGTACATTTTACTAATGCTGCAACCCCTAAGTTTAACCCAGGCCAACGTTAGAAACTTGTAATTAAAAACTAGAAAGCATTAGCACATGCTGAATACTTAACAGTTTTTTTTTGCCTAAATTGAATTAAACAGAGGTCAACACACAGCAATCATTTTCACACTTTGCCGCAGCAAACTGTCAGTAGCTGGCACCCTGCCATCACCCAATGTGTACCTACACTCCCCATGAGCTCTCCAGCATGCGCGTGTTCCTTACTCAGGATCCGTTTCCAGCCCTGTTCCTTTTAAGTCCTTGGGAACACAGAGGGAGGAAGGGATGACAGAGGAGCAGAGAGGAGAGGAGGGGGGCAGGAGGGGGCCGGGGGCTGCGTCTGTGGGCCAAAACAACCAGCAGCCTTTGGGAGGCAGTGAGGCTCTGTGGTTGGGAGTGGCTGGATACAGGTCCCTCCTCTCCGGGCCGGCAGGGCTGGGCTGGGCTGGGCTGGGCGGAGCAGCAGGTGGCAGACAGAGCAGGACCATGACCAGCTCCAGAAGCTCGGTAGCAGCACTCTGACCGTGGGAAGCGCGAAACCCCTAGCTCTTCCCCAACTCCCGCACTGGAGAACCTGACCGGATCAACCTGAGCTTCGTGACAGAAAAGTAAGGCTTCCCTTCGCAATTTCACTATGAAGTTAAGAGTAAGACTATACTTTATTCTCTTATTTACGGGGGAAACCATACTCATAGCACTATGTCGGAGCTCAAAGATCTGACAGTTGAAGGAGAGTAAGAGTGCGAGAGGGGGAACCTATCAAAGAAGATTAATGCTGATAAAATGAGTTTGTGTACCAAAATGTCAGGTGTATAAACACCTGTTCATCAGATTCGGGAAAAGCCAAGTTGTCTATATCCTTAAACCAATCAGAGTATAGAACTATGTATAATTAAATGAAATCTCATGGCCTGGTCCCAGCCAAACAGCAAGGAGCCAGCAACCTCCGTATATTTGGCTAAAGTGAAATTCTACATTTGTGGAAAATTATTGTGCTCATACTTACTTCTCCTTCTTATTTTAGACTTTGGAATTATTATACAATACTTGGTAATTGTTTGTATTTACCTAATTACTGTTCTTGAAAAACCTCATTGGAAGATGAAATGTGCAGCTTGCTCAAAGCAATCCAAGACTGAGATTACCACTGTGACGACATGTTCATATAAATTCAAGCTATGCAAGTAGTTAATGATGCCCGATAAGGCAAAAACATGAATCGAAAAGCCCTATTCTTATTCCATAAGTAACATACCTTATTTTCATGTTATGAAAATATACACATCACTCTTTTAATCAATAATTCTTTCAGCAAAATTTTGATCTTTAAAATTCCATGGCGATAATTCTGTATTAATTATAGGTTGATCACTTCATGCGGTACTAATGATTTTAATGGAATACCATGCAATATTTCAGACCCAAAGCCCCAGAAGGATCTTAACTGGCAATAATTTTACACATAAATAAATAAATACAGCCTAGGAGTCTCGATTTCTCAAAAGATAGCCAAAGAAATGGTTTGAGATACGAAAATACTTGTCACACATCAGCTGAAATGTATTACCACATGAAAGTTCGATAGAAAATATCTGGTTTAATTCAATAAAATGAAATGCAACTAGCAAAAACTATATCCAAGGAGGATTTAATGCTACTTCACATGTCTATGTTAGTTAGATATTTTAATAGGACACTGGTGCTTGTAATAAATGTTTATGAAGGCAAAATATTTGGGATCTTACGATGAGAACAGCAGGACTCAGTCGAAAGCACTGTTTTTTGGATATCTATCAATTTTTATGCTGCCCACGAGAGAAATTTTTTCCAATTAGACGGTCAATGTTTTCTAATTATTTCCATTATCATTAACAACAATACTTACACTAGAACATCTTACACAAGAGGCTCCTTAAGCACATTAGAATTGTTTAATCTGCTTCAATGCATCTACGTAATGTGTCTAGCTTGAATTTTAAAAGGGGTCTGATTGGGAGGCTAAATCAAAGCCAACGTAAAAATGGATCTACCCTTAAAAACAGTAAATGTTCACTAATAATTAGAGCTTGGCACAGATTCTAGGGCAAAGGCAAGTGCGATGATATAACAGTTGTTTTATGTAGTGTATATTGCAATTATAATTTAAGACAAGCTCAACATCAGTTGGTTATCAATTATCCAATTTTTTTCCTAATCAACTATAAAGATTTGGAGTGATGAGCCATTAAAAACAAAAACACATTCATTGTTGGTCAGACTTCGGCTCGTGATCCTTCAGCTCAAAATAAATAAGTAAATTAAGGTGAACAGGCAGGAAATGATCCAATAAATCTGCCTGCATTTTGTCCCCTTTTCACCAGATCAAGTGTCGTATTTTGGTCAAAGGCCCTCATGTGATGTACCAACAGACAAATGTACTCGGGGGAGTAAGCAACCTTTGGAATTTGGCTACCTCACACCCAGGATGCAAATGCCCAGCACGAGCCCTGTGGACACCACCTGAATCTTTGCACCATGGATCAAGTCAGTCCAGCAGGCGGAGAGGGTCTTAAGAGATAGCAAGAATAACCAATAGTGATCAAACTATGGAACTGCTTCTCTACAAAGTGACCTGTCCAGGTGCTAACAGTTAAGCCATATTATTCAAATGGGACCTATGCAGTTCATAAAATGAAAGACTGTGGCCAATATGCAAATGTTACCAGCATGAGAAGCCCATCGACAAAAATAACTGAGGATTTAGAAAAATTCAAGAAATAATCATGGACGCTTCCAACTGAATGACCTATGTTGTCAAGGAAAAAACAAAAAAGACAAAACCCCAATATGGAAACGCACACACCGCCTTTAATAAAATTTTATGAAAACGACACCAAGCAGCTAAATGTTTCATCCAACTGCAGCATGGCAATCTTGACAGGTGACAAAGACACCTACCAGTTCTATATCATAAGCCTCTTTCTGTCCTGCCTCTACACCATCTTCCTGTTCCCCATTGGCTTCATTGGGAACATCCTCATCCTGGTGGTCAATCTCAACCACCGAGACAAGATGACCATTCCAGATCTGTACTTCGTCAACCTGGCTATAGCGGACCTCATCCTGGTGGCTGACTCCCTGATCGAGGTCTTCAACCTGAATGAGAGCTACTACGACATCGCCATCCTTTGCACTTTCATGTCCCTCTTCCTGCAGGTCAACATGTACAGCAGCATCTTCTTCCTTACGTGGATGAGCTTTGACCGCTACGTGGCCCTGGCTAGCACAGTGAGCAGCAGCCCGCTACGGACCATGGAACACGCGAAGCTCAGCTGCAGCCTCATCTGGGGGGCCTCCATTCTGGCCACACTCTTGCCTTTCACTATCGTGCAGACGCAGCACCGGGGTGAGGTGAACTTCTGCTTTGCGAACGTCTTCGAGATCCAGTGGCTGGAGGTGACCATCGGCTTCCTGGTGCCGTTCTCTGTCATTGGCCTGTGCTACTCACTTATCGTCCGAATTCTCATGAGGGCACAGAAGCACCGAGGCCTCTGGCCCCGGAGACAAAAGGCTCTGCGCATGATCGTGGTGGTGGTCTTGGTGTTCTTCATCTGCTGGTTACCTGAGAATGTCTTCATCAGTATTCAGCTGCTGCAGGGCACAGCAAACCCCCTGCAACGCAGCGGCACCACGCTGTGGCATGACTACCCGCTCACGGGCCATATTGTCAACCTGGCCGCCTTCTCCAACAGCTGCCTAAACCCCATCATCTACAGCTTTCTGGGGGAGACCTTCAGGGACAAGCTGCGGCTGTTTGTCAAGCGGAAGGCCAGCTGGTCAGTTCTCTACCGGCTCTGTGACCACACCCAGGACCTGCAGCTTCCCATCCGAAGCGAGGCCTCAGAGGTTTAACTCGAGCAGCCGGCATGGAAAGCATCCTTGCCGAGAAGCATACCGATCCCAGTCGCCATGGAAACGAGGTATCGTGTAAGTTAGCATGAGTACCGGACAATCGTCTGAACTTCAGATGTGTTAAATTAACACATGCAGATTCTGTGTGGACAGAGGGTCATAACTGTAGGGGAATTACACCCAAAAACAATATCATGTTTGTTGTATTCATCACTAGGCAAATTAAAACACATTTAACAGAAATCGGAGAATGCACTTTGAACAAAGAATTGACACTTTGTGTCCCAAACAAAACGTGTACAGTTTAAGATTTCTTCTCCAGGTCGTTTTAGAAGTCTATGAAAAGTGGAATGTACGCGCTCTGCAAACTCAGTATTTTTATGATTTTTGTGTCAGTATGAATACCTGTCATTTCCTGTAAATTCATATGCTTAACTTATTGAGACAACCTTCCTACATTTTGACATTTACAATAAAAGCGGGAACCCCAGTTACTTTCAGATTTTGATTCATTAGTGTCTCAAATTCTTGCTGCGATGAAAGCGTTAACAAAAACTCAAAGGCAATAAAAATGAGGGAGAGAAACTATACATTTATCACAGATGTCGCCTTTAATTCAGCCATAAAAAAAACTTTTTTGTGAATAAAGGAACTAATAGCCAATATTCTTGTTTAAAAATATAAAACATGAACGTGTTTAAAGCCTCGTCTTAGACAGGCATCCCTTTTATATTTTTCAGGCTCATACTGTACTCTATGTAGTCAGTAAAATCAGTCATCTTTAATAAAAAATTAAACACAATAATAATGATCATTTAAAAATTATGATCAGTGCTTCTTTCAGGATGGTCTGACAGGCTGCAATCATAGGTACAAACTAGGGCTGAATGATTTGGGGAAAATATCTAATCGAGATTTTTCTGACAGACACCGCGATTGCGATTTGATTTGCGATAAATTTTTTATGTCAAGCTTCAGTTGAATATTCAGTGTGTAGTAAATTTAAAAGGAGGTCGCCAGTCCTATTGATGATAGGACTTTCTGAAACAATCTCGGACCATGAAATATGAAGGCAATTCACTTACAGCTCAGTAGCGGAATCAATATTTTTTCTGCACTGCAAATGCAACATTTTCCATGGGTTTCACGTGTTTGCCGTTTGTGGGCCTATATGCAGTCTTCTTGGGCCACTACTGATTGGTGAGCATGACTGGCACGCGAGAAGCACTGCGCTTGTGATTGGTGAGAATGATTGTCACACAGGGAGCACAGCATGAATTTGTAGAACTATTCCCACAACAGTCAGACGTGCTGTATAATATATATCCTAAATTGCAGCCTTTGCGATATACTAATCGCATTGTTTCAAATTGCGATTACGACTTGAAAACAATAAACCATTTAGCCCTAGCACAAACTAATTTAAATCAAAAAGATAGTTATTAAATCTTTCTTTTACTCCGTTCCCAATACAGCTATATACAGACCCTGACAATTCAGACATATACAACAACCACACCCACACCCCCACACACACACACACACACACACACACACACACACACACACACACAATAGGTGATTTAGAGATGACTGCTCATGTTTGCACTGGAGGTGGAGACTGGAGTTTTTTGGGTAGAAAAATGTGTAAGTGGCCCTCAATTTTCAAAAACGATCAAATGTCCTTAACCCTCAGCCTTTTTTTCGTCAAAAATTGCCAGAGCTTAAAAAAGGTCAGGAATTTAACAGTTAGCAAACCATATTTTTCACAGCTCTAAGAATTACTAAAAGCACAGCACACTTTAAACAGAGCATAAACATCATACACACCTGGCACTTTGCTTTGAGCACAAGCTTTTAAAATGTACTACAGAGCGACGTCCAATCTAACACAAAGACTGTGGCTGAGCAATCAGTCTCTTGTGAAGCCCTGTTTCACATCCATATAAACACAAAGAGGAGGAATGGGGAGCAAAATCAGCACAATTTGACAAAAAAGGCAAAAATAATAAAATAACGGTGCCAACTGGAAAGAATGGATGGGCATCCAATATTTAATCTAGACAAGGAGAGAGTGAATTAAGCTTTACTATTCTTTTCAGTACTCTGAGTTTACAGTAATGTCAAGACTTATTCACAGCATGCAGAAAATCCCAACAGCTCACCTGCTCAACTGGAGGTCACTTAGCAACAGAAAAAACACTGTCACAAAGGACAGGACTCACGATTCCCACGGACGTACTCACAGAAGTGCTCAGGAGAGCAGGGCTACAGAGTCACCATCACAATTCTAGACTTTATTTGTCCCCATTTGGAGTCCACGATAAACAGGTTACACACATAAGGTAAAATGAATGAGGACACATTTTAAAATGTAAGGTAATATAACACAGATCACTAACAACCATTCACCCCTCTTTCAATTGCTGATCCTGGTCAAGGTCAAGGTGTTTGAGGCCTGGAGTCTAATCCAGGTACCACAGGGCACAAGGCTGGGGCATCCTGTCAGGATGCAAGTCCATCATAGCTATTAATACAGCCACAGTTATTTCCTTTTATTTAAGTAACAATAATTTTATTTAAACAGCTGCTCAATCAAAAATTAAAACAGTTTGTTGCTGTTTTTGTGTTTAAAAAAAATCCCCGGCCTCAAAGTATGCGGGCTGTGGCAGAGGTCAACCCCACTGAGATTAAGATGGAAAAAGGATTCATCTTATTTCCATAAAACCTCAAATAATCCAAACATTAGGCTGCCTATTTAGCATTTCAATAAAAGGTCACATTTTATGCAAAGTCCACGCATGGCTAGACTGTAGAGTGCAACCGCACACTGTGTGGGTGAGAGACTTCAGAGCTTCAGAGAAAGGGAACGCTTTCTGTGATGAAGGACATTAAATGCAGCAAGACCTTAACTGCTGGATGCCAAGGTTATAGAGGACTTAGTTTGAAGTGGTGGGGATACATAATTTGCCTTTAAAAGCAGTCATCAACTGCAGACTGATCATTGCAATTAGAATAGTAAGGGAAAGACAGTAAAACAGACAAATATTATTACACTGAATTGGTATAATGGCTGCTTTTTGGAGAAATTTAGAGGTCACAGTAGTCCACTGTCCTAGCTGCATGTTTTGCTCTCATCTTCCCCATATCAGAGGACAGGCTCTTTAAAGTTAACGGATTCTGTCTGGAGTGTGCAGGTAGACATGCCAAGGGTACGGGTTAAACCACAGGGAGAGATGTCCCTGCAAATGGTACGTATGTCACACTGAGGGAGTCTCACTCAATTACAAAACGCATGGTAAGTCCTGCCTGGCCCATGATGATACAATGGAAGATTAGTGGTGTGCAAAGGGTCCATCCCCACGGCCATGGAATGAGAAGCATGCCAAAGACAGACTTTTATACAGTTCTTCTGTATACAGAGAATGCAGACACTCCAGAAGGCAGGGTTCGTACACATTTTTACCATTACATTTCCATGACTTTTCCATGACTTAAAGGTAAATATTCATGACTTAATAAATAGTAGTTCTGAGGCACTCACAAGGAATATAAGTTTTAAAAGCCTTTATTTAAACTTGGCTATCCATTAAAAACATGCCAACATGTTTCAGCCTCTGTGGCCTTCTTCAGGGCAAAAAAATGCTGTTAAATTTGGTGCTTTGCACCTTTAGCATGGCTAGATAGCGCTGCTTCTCCCATGTTCGAAATGTCGAACGTTTTATGGCAAAGTCTACATTTTGCTCGTCCCGGGTCCTGGTCTTTCTCAAGCCATGCATTATACTTTTCAGATTGAAGCCAAACATTATTAAAGCGACATTTTCCCGGCATTGTTTATTTTTGCTCAGCTGCAACTGAGTTGCCCCAAGCAGAGAACATGTCACGTGATCCCTGTCAGCACAAGTACGTAGGCAATACGTCGCATAAACGGCGGATGGTCGCATTTGGATCGCGTTCCATTACGAAGCATCGCGTTTTATTCGCGAAAACGTCGGATCGTCGCGGTGTTGAAAAGTGTTGCTCGCTTAAACGCCCAATGTGCAAATGACTGAAAAGCTACTAAATACCGACCTTAAAAAAAACTTATCAGCGACGTAGTGCCGACGTACTTGTGCTGACTGGGATGTGACTGATCGCCCGAACGAAAAAATTATTGCAATTTGAAAACCAATATTATCAATTGAACAAATTCAAGTACATGGATATTTTTGAAAAACAAATTTCCATGACTTTTCCAAAACTTTCTGAGTTTATTCATTTTCCAAAACTTTTCCAGGCCTGGAAATTGCCATTTTAAAATTCCATGACTTTTCCAGGTTTTTCATGACCGTACGAACCCTGAGAAGGGGATCTCTGAGCCTTTTGCCTGGCTTTGATATTATATCACGAGTTATCTTTCAAAATACAAACTTTGGTTAAAATCATTCTGTAAAGCCATTCTGTCAGATAAGCTCCATTCTTACTCGCCCAGCCCCTGACCCCATATTCAGTGTTTATGTCTCACCACCGCGAATATTCTTACCCTTTCTTAGATTCCGTGGTTTCACCCTTAAGCAGTGAACCAGACCAGAGGTGTTCTCTTTGGGAGGAAGGAGTTGGTTTCCAGACAATGTTCTGTGATGCAATAGATGTTGCTGCACACAGCCTTTTCAGGACACAGACCAATGGAAACTCGCTAACAGTGTTGAGACAAAAGCAGGAGAGTCTCAAGACGAGACTGAAGCAGGATGGGGTGCTGTGAGGGCATTTCTGTATGGACTAAAACCTACAGAAGTAAACTGGGCCAAAATTACCTCTTGCATGCAGAAGTCGCATGAATGCAATAAAGATGCAAAACTCTGAGTTTTGTATACTCAGAAATTTCCAAATGAAATGAAAAATTCCAGGGATGAAAGTCGGAAACATGCGCGATATAACCCATCCATGGGAAAGTGTCGGTGTTGCCATAAACCGGGGCACAGGGTACACGAACGCAAGCAAAAACTGATCAAAGCAGTAATGATGATGATGAGTTGGACAAAAGATTAACAGCTCAGCACAGAGAAGAAACCGGCACTTCTTAATATTGTTTTGCCACAGGGAAATTAGAGCAGTCCACCCTGCA